TCCCAAATTGCATCAGATTTACAGAGATGGAACTCTCTCCCTCTTTCATTGATTGGTAGGATTAATATTATCAAAATGAATGTGCTACCTAGACTTTTGTTTTTATATCAAAATATCCCTCTGTTCTTGCCCAAACAGTTCTTCAGGTCCCTGGATCAGATGGTCTCATCTTTTTTATGGAACGGAAAGGCCCCCAGAATGAGACTTTCTTTATTACAACAGTTCACCACAAACGGGGGTCTTTCTCTACCTAATTTTACAATGTATTACTGGTCCTCACATATCCATAAACTGACTTATTGGTTAAATTCACCTGATCTGATTTGGTGTAAACTTGAAATTCAGTCGATTTCTGCATCTTTTTCGCCCGCTTCAATTATTTATTCATCATTACCAATTAAATTATCCTCAGTTACTACAAATCCTATAGTGCTCTCAACACTCAGGATCTGGTCACAATTTAGGTCCCACTTTAAATTTGTATCACCCTCTAATAAAATGCCGTTACTAAAGAATCTCATTTTTTCTCCAGCATCTAATAATGCTGCCTATAGAATTTGGTATGAGAAAGGTATTAGAACAATGAGAGACCTGTACGAAGATGGTTTATTTCTTAGTTTTTCAGAATTGTCTTCTAAATTTAATCTACCCACTTCACATTTGTTTCTTTACTTCCAAATTAGGCATTGCGTTTCATCGCAGTTTCAAAATTTTCTAACTTTGCCTACTGACCCACCATGGGTTGAACTCTTAGTTTTGAGCCCCAATTTGAAATCTCCTCTTTCAATTATTTATGGAAAACTTATGGCAATAGAGGCCGATTCATCGGGTAAAACTAGAACTGCATGGGAACGTGAACTGGGTGTTAAACTATCAGATTTATGGTGGGATAAAGTTATTCTCAGCATACGTCAGAGTACACCATGTGCCAGACTACAGTTAATACAATTTAAAGTAATAAATAGAGTACACTTCTCAAAAACACGTTTATCTAAAATGTCCCCTCAATACCAGACCAGTGTGATAGATGTCAGACTTCACCTTGCAACTTAAGTCATATGTTCTTTTTCTGCCCAAAACTGCAAGGGTTTTGGAAATATTTTTTCTCCATACTCTCAGGAGTTTTTAAGATTCAGTTTCAAAGTGATCCACTTATTGCTATTTTTGGAGTTCCTGGGACCACACTTAATCTATCCCGCCAGCAGGGGGAGGTCTTGGCCTTTTGCTCTCTCCTTGCCAGACGTTGAATTTTGCTCGCCTGGAAATCTCCCACACCACCATCCACATCACAATGGCTTAATACTGTAAGATCATACTTGAAGATGGAAAAAATTTTACTAACAGTGAAAGGTAGTTCAGAAAAATTTACCCACAAGTGGACACCCTTTGTGTCATATGTAAAATCTTTACCTTCATAGCGTATAGACTGATATGATTGACTCATCACATTACCATGTGACTTGTTTTTAGAGGATAAATGAAAGACTGAAATACTGTTTTCCTTTTGGTTTGTTGGGTCCCTCCTGTTCGTTCCTCCTCCCCCTCTCTCTCTTTTTTTTTTTTCTCTCTCCTTTTTTTTTTCTTTCCTTATTTTGTCTTGTTTTTGGTTAAGGGGGAAGGGGAGGGAGGGGAAGAGGGGAGGGAGGGGGGAAAAGGGGGAAGGAAAAAAAAGAAAAAATTGGAGAAGTCATGTAAATTTTGTATAATGTATGTAATGTCAATTATATATTCTCCTGATAAATAAAAATAAAAAAAAATAAAAAAATGTAACGAATCAACTCTGAGCTTTAACGGAGGCGGCGCTCCTTGGCAAAACGTCTTTTAAACCATTTAAAACAAACTCGTTCGAACTTCTCAGAACCGGACCAAAACCGGGTCGGCAATAGAAACTCCGTCCGTTTAAACAGAATAAACGTTTTCCACACAAACCCAGCTTATGTTACACAACAGATGTACAATTTCAGCTTTCATAAAGACATATTGACTCACAATATCAGCTTTCAAAGCATCACCAGCTTCAAACATGCAGTATTTTCTCCAAACATCGCAGCTGCACTGCGTTTCACAGCAACTGATTCTCTGCACTTTTCATGCCAACATGTAATTCACTTGTCACACGAATACAGTCCATTTTATGAACCCGTCACGGGCCACCAGTTGTAGTAGAACATATGCTGTCATATATATTCATACTGTTAAAACGGATTCTTTCATTTTTCTGGACTGTATAATGACGTGCATCTGAATTAATAAAATGTGGACGGAAACGTTAATTATCTTTGACTCACCAAGACAGTGGGTCATTTATTAACATAATCAAGTTTAACACATCACACATTTACATTAATTGGCAAAAATTGAAAATAACGACAGCTTATTAATCAGTTTACAGGAAGTGAACAATGCGGCGATTGTTCTCACTTCCCATAATACAGCAGACGTCAACCACACGGAGGTGATTGGAAAACTTTGCTTCAGACATTTCTAAAAATATCTGTAATGATTTTTAGCAGATAGAAGAATTTTAAAGATGGAAAGATGAAGTTTATCTTGAGAGAGATGTGTGAGGGAATTTGTCTGTTTTAACCAGAACAGCGCGCTCCTTTGGATCAGCTTATCCCAACGGTACACTTTTGGTGAAGATCGACTTTTACCTTTCTGAAGATATCTCAGTTCCGGCGTAAAGTTCCACTTCGAGCCACTTTTCAGCGTCTCCGTAAGAACAGCTAAACCTCCGGAGTCGTGAGATCATCCAGGCCAGACTTTCATAATTCCCAAATCTTTTCTCTTCAGTTTGATTCTCTTTTCAACAGCATCCTGAATTCCAGCCTTCATGAACTCTGGAACTGCTGGAGCTGCAAACTCTCCACCCGACTCCAACTGGAGGTGGAACCTCTTGCAGAACTCTCCATCATCAGCTGACTCTTCTCCAACTAAACAGCTTCTGCTTCTGCTGCTTGAACTAGGAAGTGCCAACATTTAAAGAAAGCTCACTTCCGGTTCATTTGAGAACTTTCTGATTGGTCGAATGGACCAAACAGAGGTGTGTTTTGTGATGCAAGGTGTTATGAAATGTCAAGGAAAAGATTAAGATTGTTTAAAAACAGACAAAAGATTTCATGAGAAACTTCAGACTTCGTGGAGTCAATTCTCTAGTATCTTGCTGTAAAAGTTAAACATGACATTTCTTTTCAGTAAACTTGCAATTGACCGAAACTTGAACTTTGACCAACTTCCATCACTTGCTCACTTCAAACAGACGATCAAGAAATTGAATCATTACTCTGTAACGTATTCCAACTTGATTTCACTTTGAATGAGGATTAAGAATCATTATTACTGTTTCACAATTAATAAAAATGAGTAGTTCACTTCAACATTCAAACATTGTTTGAACTAACACAATTTGATTATCAAACATTTGTAAAATGGTAATGATAATAGAAAGTAGTCTTCTTTTACTTGATTAATTCAAGAAAGAAAGTCTCAGGATGGGTCAACCTGTATTTCTGGATGCAAATCAATGAAATGACAAGTTCTGTCCCATATGGTCCTTAGGTCAAATCCTGACCTTAGGCTTAGTTCTTAGCACTTTTCCTTTGACCTTTGCTGACACTCTTGTCGCAAATCACTCCTGAAACTTTTCTCCATCCACTCCATCCTGCCTGGACTCTCTTTTTCACCTCTTTACCACATTCCCCATTTTCCTGGACAGTGGACCCCAAGTAATTGAAGTCCTGCACCTTTATGACCTCTGCTCCTTGTAGCCTCACTGTTCCACCGGTCTCCCTCTCATTCACACACATGTACTCTGTCTTACTACGGCTAACTTTCATTCCTCTTCTTTCAAGTGCATTCCTCCACCTCTCCAAGTTCTCTTCCACCTGTTCCCTGTTCTCACCACAGATCACAATGTTGTCTGCAAACATCATAGTCCATGGGGATTCCTGCCTGACCTCATCTGTTAGTCGGTCCATCACCAGAGCAAACAAGAAGGGGCTCAGAGCTGATCCTTGATGCACTCCCACCTCCACCTAGAAGCAGTCTGTCACTCCTACAGCACATCTCACCACTGTCCTGCTGTCTGTCCTGTATCAGTCTAACGTACTTCTTTACCACTCCAAACTTCCTCATGCAATACCACACCTCCTCCCTTGGCACTCTGTCATATGCTTTTTCTAAATCCACAAAGACACAATGAAGTTCTTTCTGACCCTCTCTGTACTTCTCCATCAGCATTCTCAAAGCAAAGATGGCATCTGTGGTGTTCTTTCTTGGCATGAAACCATACTGCTGCTCACAGATAGTCACCTCTCGTCTAAGTCTAGCTTCCACAACTCTCTCCCAGATCTTCATTGTGTGACTCATCACTTTAATTCCCCTGTAGTTGCTACAACTCTGTACATCACCCTTGTTCTTAAAAAGGGCGACAGCACACTTCTCCATTCCTCAGGCTTTTTCTCACCCTCAAATATGTCATTGAATATTTAAGTTAAAAACCTCACTGCCATCTCTCCAAGTTATTTCCAAACTTCCACTGGTATGTAATCAGGTCCCACTGCCTTCCCATTATTAATTATTTTCAGAGCTTTCTGGACTTCAGCCTCACTAATCATTCCCACTTCCTGGTCCATAGATATGACCTCTACGCTTCTTTCACTTTCATTCATTAGCTCCTCAAAGTACTCCTTTCATCTTCCCGTCACACTCTCCTCACTTGTTAGAACATTAACTTTTCTATCTTTCAGAAACTTCGCAGGCTTTTTATCCTTTTTCCCATTCATTAAGATTCATTACAGTTATTAAATGTTATGTAGCAAAATGATGCCACAAGCTAATACAAACGCTAGTTTTGGCTATCATTTTATGGAAGCCAGTTCATAATAACATTTTGGGGTAGTAAAGAGTAATTCAAAAACTTTTCAAAGATCCGCTTTATTTTGCAAGGAGAAACAAGGTCAGTTTATGTAATCTAACACTATGCTTATTCCTTTTTCATATAGTGAAATGGTCTGTACCCCTAACTGTGGATAAGTAGGGCACTAAGATGCCCAAAAATGATATCTGGCCAGGTGACACAGGACTAGAGACGATGGATGGCATGGATAGTGCTGGCAGCTGTGACAGTGTGGTTAGTGCCAATTCAGTCTTTGTAAGTAACTAAGTTTACCTGCTTAAATCTAACAGTATTTCTATTATTCATCATACAGCACAAATTTAAATATCAAGACAGTTTATTTTGATATTTAAAGGAGAGTCTTATTGTATCTTATTGTAGACTTTGTTTAAAAATCTGTATTTCAGAGTGATGACAGTCTAAAGCACCTTTCTGCTGAAGAAAAGGCCTGTCTAATGTTTTTGGAGGAAACTATTGAGTCCTTGGATACTGAAGAGGATAGTGGACTTTCCAATGATGAGTCTGACCAGCTGCCTAGCCCTGGCAACCTTACAGCTAAACTTGACGTAGACCTGTCAGCCTCCTTGAGCAACAACAAGCTCAATAGTAAGTTAATTTTCTGAAGACAGGTGTAGAATTAGTGAGTATTTAATGAAAACACTAAAAAAAATACCTTGTATTCTCTGTACTTGTCTTTCAGGTTCAGAAAACTCTTCTAAGGAACCCATTAAGAAAAATGTTAACCTCAAACACCTACAGAGCTATCTGGTTCCTACACCTTTTGTTGTTGCAAGCCATTCCATGTGTTCTGTTCCCAGTACTAAACCAATGAGTCTTGTAGAAAAAACTGTACATTTTGAGTCTCAGTTCACATCCAAAGTCACAAAACCTGCCCACAAACTCCAAAAGAACCCTAGTGTTCCCCCAGTACCTTTAGAGGTTAACACTGTCATTCTTCCTTCCACAAAACCCAAGGAGAACTCAAGTCAAGGTCCTTTACCAAGAGGACCCCTGTCTTATGATGCACTAGTTCATTTGCGGAGTACTGCCTCCACAAAGAAAACCCCTTTATGTCCCAAAGTTGATCACACTATAGACTTGAACAAACATTGTTCTACCCCAGTGGAAGGTCCAAGCCTTGTAAATCTGCCAAGATCTGTCAAATTCCCCTTAGAGGTCCACAAATCTAAAACAGGCCCCCCAGCTGTGGCTCCAAAACCTAAAAAGATTCCTGTTAACATAGCGATGAAACTCCAACATGAAGGAATTACAGCACAGGACGTTTCAGACAGCATCAACCATGCAAAAAATCCACAGGTGGTGAGACAGGAAGCTTTGCAGAAACTTGGCCTCCTGAAAAACCAGGAGCAACTGAGTGGGAAAGTAGGCCCACCAACTCCTCCTAAACCTCCCTCTTCTTTGGATCCAGTGGCTGACAGATGTGCTAGAAGTCTATCCCAATGTAATCCAATGAGTAAACTTTCTTTTACTTCTTCTCAAGCACTCACAGAACACAAGAACGAGAATCTGCAGAATACTGTCGATTTCCATCACCACTGCAGAAATGACCAGGAGTCTGTGTCAGCATCACATCATCCATCTCAGTCTAGTAGGTTGGACAGCACACGTCTGGAGCACTCTGTTAGCCTGGATTTGTGTGATAACACAAACATCCCAAACTACCCTGAACCACAACATATCCCAACAGCCAAACCAATGAGAACCACCACCACTGCTGAACCGTCATCTGACAAACCCTCAAACTTAATGGGATACAGTGTGATGGTGGTGCCAGGGATGGGATCTGATCGAAAGGAAGCTCTCAGAAAGCTTGGACTGCTTAAGAACTGAACCTGGTGATAGGCAGTAGCCTGTGGGACTTAATGGAGTGTCCAGAAAATCTACCATAAGCCTAAAAACGTTTGCATAGTGAATCAGAATTTGGTGCTTGGTATTTTGATACCCCTTCATAAAAATAATAAACATTTTTAGAGCAAAGCACTTGATATGATAAGTACATACAATATATACTCAATATACACTATGCACTATGCAAAATATACTCAAATCAGAATTAAATTCAGAAGAATACATCCAGATGACCTGACTTAACCTAGTTAAATTTTTCTACCTGGATTATTGAGAATGTATCAGGACAACATACTCAATTATTTAAGCACAATTTTATTTAATTCCAAACCACTTTTCTGCAGAAGGTTCCAACAGTCACTGAAAATGTGCCTTGAACATTTCAAAACTCATAAATTCTATATAAGTATGTAAAAAGATATTTCTTATCAATCTGTTTTTGTAATGTTTGATACAATTGGATTCTGTAACTGTGTTTGTTATAACAAATTACAGTACAATATCTGAAAAGGCACAAAAGGGAATTCTAACCTAATGGCATAATTGGTATTTTTCACCTATTTTCACATATGTGCCTGAAAAAGAGCTGCTGAGTAAAACTGAAGCAAAGCTTTTGTTGTTACAGTTAAGATCTTATGTGTCAAAAGCTTTACTATTACTCAAGTACATAGTAAAATATATTCATATGAGTGACTACTCCTATATATTTTATTATGTACTTGAGTGACCAAATCTTTAAATATGTAATGTTGACTGGAAAAACAAAGATAACATCATTATTAAACCCATTGTATCATCTTCATAAATTTCTATGACAATAAAAATTCTGCATGTAATGGATTGTATAATAAAGTCTGTATGTTTACAAAGTTAATGCAATTGGTCTGTGTGCTTCTGTTAATTACTGGCACTATTTTAGATTTTACAGACTTTATCGTGTTGAACGTCTGATGTGACTTTTAATTTAAAGCAAGTACCTGCAGAATGTCTGACCCATGTCATTTTGAAATGGGAGAGCTTCATTCAACTCGACCATTACAGAACAAATATTCACACTACTCATCTTACACAGCACTCGGCTGATGAGAAAGCCCGCTCAGCTGTTCTGTTATCCGATTATCTTCAGCACCACCTCCTTGTGGTGCTCAAGAAGTTCCGTAGTGTCATCTCTCAGTGACCCACTGTCTCTACTTTGAACACAAAGTGTCGAATTATGAAACTATTCAAATATAAAACGACAGATAAGGAAAAATATTTGTTAAAATTAAAAATATATAATCAACAAATAGAGGTGTGAGCTGTAGAAAATGTTCTATGAAACCACAAAAAAGGTTAAATCGTGTCATCTGGACCAATTTCATTAAGTGAGAAACATTTCGTACCCCATCCAGAAGACTTCCTCAGTCTATGGCCTGCCAACCAGGTCTGTCCTATAGGTAGCCTTCACTGCTGTTTCAAGCCAACCTCCTGTTGAATCTTAATTTCTCACTTAAAGAACCTGGTCCAGATGACATAACTTAACCTTTGTTGTTATCTAACTGGATGACCGAGCTTACAAACCTTGTTCTATGAAACAATTTGGGAAATAAGTGGATTTGATTTGTTTTAAGCTGTTGTATAAAAGAAGATGCACCTTTGGTAATTTTTACAGATCTTACTCCATACAAGATATTTAAATAATTTATTCTGAACAACAATGTTCAGCACAGTATTTCAATATCACACCCAAATCAAGTTGAATGATTAGTGTTTGGCTCCAGGACATAGGGTGTCACATCAGTCTACAACGCTCACCTAGAGTTTGTGTGTAACATTAGAGCCGTCAGTCCTGCTGCCTTGACAACCTGACCCGGTTGTTACAGCAGAGTCACACGTTTTCCAAAGCACTACAAACTGGACTAACATGTTGGCTGAGATCTGTTTCATTGCCTTGGTCAATGATACTTTACATTAAAGCTTAAATGGCTCTTTCTGAAGTACATCGAATTAGCCATAAAAAAAAGCATTGTTTGGGTTCAGCAACAAAGATGGAGATTGTTGAAAAGAAAACATGCATTACTAAATGGGCAGCTGTGGCTGAGTGGTTAGAGCAGTCGTCCTCCAATGCAAGAGTTGGGGGTTCAAATCCACCAGCAGTCACATGCTGAAGTGTCCATGGGCAAGACACTGAACCCCTCATCACCTCCTATGTGTGTCCCATTGGTGTATGAATGTGATAAAGCACTGATTATTCTCTTTAGAATGATTTGTTCAATTAGCTTTGTAGAGATCTAGAGTGATGTATGAATGGGTAAATGAGGACACAGATTGTAGTGTAAAGTGCTTTGAGTATCTTGATTAGATAGAAAGGCGCTAGGGGTTGAACGAGTATATAATTTTTAAACTCGACATTAACATATATTATGCTCCTACCATTTATCATACTGCAAATAAGTCACAGGAAAAACTAAACTATTAGTTATTATTATTAAACTGCAAACGTGAAAAAACATGCAGCACGTCAAAAACGAAACTTAAACCGAAACTGGTTCGGTGGATTGGACCCGGTGTTACACCATACTCTGTGACCTGCAACAGTGCAACACCGCCCCCTACGGTCATACGGTGGTCACATAATATGACGTCACTACAGATACCCGACGTTACATTTTTAACCTCGATAGATGTCCTAGCAATCGATGTGTAGATTACTCAAGTACTCTGTTAATGCCCTAAAAGGCGCTATACAAGTACAGTCCATTTACCATTTAAATTTTAGACTTCTTCTGCAAGTCAAACTTTTATTTCTGTACAAACATTTCAGAACATTATTATTGTAGGTTAGATTTACCGGAATATTAATATTTACAAGACACATACTGACACTGGTGTCGACAAAACATTACCTCTGAGCATTTCAGGCAGGCATTAGCAAAATATGTATAATTGTTCAAATGTAACTACATAATTAATCATTATAAAAATATGTGTCAAAACCGTGATTAGATGGGCTTGGAGTATGTTGTGCGGCTTGGTGTATGTCGTGCACAAGTCCATTACAAGTCCCTTCATGTTGGAATATGAGACTTGCTTTTTTTGCGCTTTACCTTTCCGTTGGGGACGTCCAGCGACTCCAGACGAAAAGGCCGAGGGAGAACGGGATCTGATCTGACAGGGGGGCTCATGTTGGACCTGCTCACACTGAGGTGGGCTGCCATGTAAACCAGAGGAGCAAATAATCAAAAATAGAGACAACAAAAATGAGGAAGAGTCACCCCAGGTGTAGCTACTAATGTTTTACTTTAAGGAAATTAAACTATCACTTGGGAAAAAAAAAAAGTGCAAATTTCTATCGCTGGCCTTTTTTGTTACAACAAAAAATTTACAAGTCTTAGTTCAATGTAATATTAAAAGTGTTTTATATCAAAAAATATTATTTCCAAGGCATTTCTTAGCATTCAGAGTTCGACAGATCTATTTAAAAAAAAAAAGAAACATCAAATTTTCAACATGAGGCTTAAAAGAGAGATGTCTCACTGTGTGCCTTGGTAGCATCAACTCCCAACAGCAGGGTGGCTTTTTTTGACTTGAAGTAGCTGCTAGCAATGTTCTCACTGTCACTTCGATCCAGCATCTCTTTGTACCTGTCCTCTTCCACCTGTTACAAAACACAATGATGAGTTTCTGTCTGTTTTTAAATGCAGACGATTCAAATTGGTGTTTTTAAGTGAAAGGCAGTCTATACAGTAAAACACATCTATACCATCACCTGCACTGCAGCATCAAAACCTGAATCTTTGTGAGTTGAAGATTCTGGCAGTACTGCTACAAAAAAAGAAAATAATTATGTATATTAAAACAATACTTTATGATTTTCTGCAGGCCTCACTCTTTTCTCTTACCTGAAGGCAGTGTTGTTTTCTGCACCATCACATCTGGCAGCTTCCAGATGGTGCTGTCCTCAACCCAAACAGCTTCTTTTTTCAAGCGGTCCAAGTTGCTGTAGTTGCAGTCGCGGCGCACCAGCTGCACCATGCGCTCAAGCAGACTGTTCAACAGCTGGCCTTCCCTCTCAAGACGGCGGATAGTTGCCAGATAGTCATTCCTCTCCACTTCAAACTCTGCCTGCAGATCACGGATCTCCAGTCTGGCTGCTTTCAGCTGTTACACAAGTTAATACGGTCTTAGATGAAAACTGACTGGTTTGTCAACAGCAAGAAAAAAGCTGAATGGCTACAACTTATATTTAAATTTATCATGTATGAATTTACTCCTATTTACTTGGAAATTAGTTTTAAATATGTACACATTGTAAAACACAATAGCATCAATCATTAAGAACTGTCTTAAAGATTCGACTGATTTTTGCCACTAAGGACTCATTTCAATTCCATTTTTAAGTCTGTATTAATTCTTGCAGAAGTCCTTGTGCATTTATCCTGTAGACATTGACACCTACCTTTCCCTGGACTTTACCCAACATCTGGCTTTTGACATGAACCTCTTCCTGGATCGAGTTGTAGACATCTAGCAGCACATTTTCACTCTCCTCAATGTCTTCTGACAGAGCGTGGATGAGCTGAGCTTTTCTTTGATCAGCAAGGTTTCTCCTCTGCCATTGCCTCTGCTGTAACTCCTTGTTCCTGGCCTGTTCTCCTCCTATGACCTCCTGTTCCAGCTGCTGCAATCTGGAGAGAAATAGGGAGAACAAGGATGTATTTCTCCATATATATTAATTATCTTTATGAATAAGCTAGGTACGTATATCAAGAGACAGTTGGATATGCTCAGTGTTATCATACAGTACAATAAACAAAACCAGATCCCCACTAATTACAACATGAAGTGAAGTATGGTAATTAAACATTAAAGAGTAAAATATTAAAATGATAAAACAATACAGAATTCATACTCTCATATGTGCTGTGTGTGTGTGTGCTGTGGAAGTGCACAAACCTTTCCAGAGCATGTTTCTGGTCCAGGGCCCCAGCCAGCTGACTGTATGAGGCCCTCTCCATCTGGATGTTTTGGGGCTGCAGCAGGCTGGCTCAGCAGCAAAGGGATATAACATTTAATAAGTTGAATTTACAGCTGTGTTTTCACTCATTTTAAACCCATAAAAAGCTTTCACTTGTCATGTTGGAAAAGTGCAGTGGACTGCACCTTTGTTGGGGAAGTAGCTCCAATTGCACAGAGGAACATAGGATCAGTGTTGGGGTAGTCCTCTTTCTCAACAGCCTGAGTTAAACGGCTGGAGCTTTCTAAAGAAACACAAAAAAACTCGGAAACAAACTTTTATTTTCTGTGAGCATGCAGTGTGTTGAATGACTGGGGGAAAGCTGACACAGAGTTATTAAAACAAAAAGAAGCAGAACACTAGTTAACAGCTAAACGGAACAAACTGCTAGTTAAAAGCCAAAGATATAAGCTAATAGATAAATGTAGCAAAACACCAGTGTAGGAGACATTTTATCTTTTTAATATTTGATGTAATTATAATTTGTTTAATTCCTTTAGGATTCCTTTAGGATACAGGTTTCTCTTGTAAATGAGTCCACATGACTCAATGAGACTAACCTGTATAAATAAAGGTTGAATGAATGGATTACTTTTTTGTTGTAATATATTGTTTAAAAAAATGTATTTGAAGTAAATTTTGAATTGGTAAAGAGTGTGGGAACTCATAAATGGGTGAGCAGGTGTAGGACCAGCATGCAATGCGGGGTGGGCATATGGTTTATTACTTGAGCAAAGGAGGAGGAGCAGGAAGCACAAATGTTTGTTTTGTTGCTTGATGAAAATGATTAAAACAACCATCAATGGAAATAGTCTTGGTTTGGACATTGGACTTCTTTTTTGACCTGCGTTGAAAAAATAACCTTGTTGCAGTTGGATCTTTTAAACTGGTTTGAGTTTGAAACAACTCATCACTACAGGTCGTATGCTGGTGAAGATTCTCAGTCATCCAGGACATGATGAATTCAAAAAGCGTTCAATACAAAAACAACTGGACTTTATTTGTAACAGAAGACGTTTTGCTCCTCATCCGAGGAGCTTTCTCAATTCAAAGAGCAGTGAGTGAGATAAGACACACACACACATAAGACACACACACATATGTAGATTGGCAGTTCACACCTAAACAGTAGGTCTTTGTCCATCTAATTCACAGACGAGGCCCCTCTGTTCCCATCAAGTGTGAAAACCGGCTGGGAATCTGTTTTAAAGTTGCATTATATGTTTTTGAAAGTGGAAATCTGAGGCCTCCTCCTCTGTTAAGAGATGGCTTTTCTCTTTTTACATAAATTGCTTCCTTCACCCCCCTCTCAAACCATCCGTGTTCTCGGTCCAAAATGTGCACATTTTGGTCCTCAAAAGAGTGTCCCTTATCTGTGAGGTGGAGGTGAACAGCTGAATTTTGTCCAGAGGAGGTGGCTCTCCTGTGTTGAGCCATGCGTCTGTGAAGAGGCTGTTTAGTTTCTCCAATGTAGAGGTCTGGACAGTCCTCGCTGCACTAGACCGCATACACTACACCACTCTGTTTGTGTATGGGTGTTTTGTCCTTAGGGTGGACCAGCCTCTGTCTGAGAGTCCTGCTGGGTTTGAAATATACTGGGATCTTGTGTTTGTTGAAGATCCTTCTGAATTTCTCTGATACTCCAGCAACATAAGGGATGACAATGTTTTTCCGTCTGTTGTTCTCTTTTTTCTGTTTATTAGTGTGTTTTGTAGATTTCCTCGCTGACTTGACAAAAGCCCAGTTAGGATATCCACATGTTTGAAGAGCTTCTTGAATGTGTTTTTGTTCCTTTTTCTTCCCTTCTGTCTTCGTGGGGACGCGTTCGGCCCGATGTTGTAAAGTTCTGATGACAGAGCGTTTGTGTTCCAGTGGATGGTGGGAGTCAAACAGAAGATACTGGTCTGTGTGGGTTGGTTTTCTGTAAACTTCAATGGGTCTTACGTCTTCTGTTACAAATAAAGTCCAGTTGTTTTTGTATTGAACGCTTTTTGAAATCACTACAGGTCCTTCTCAAAAAATTAGCATATTGTGATAAAGGTCATTATTTTCCATAATGTAATGATAAAAATGAAACTCATATATATTCAGATTCATTGCACACCAACTGAAATATTTCAGGTCTTTAATTGTTTTAATACTGATGATTATGGCATACAGCTCATGAAAACCCAAAATGCCTGTCCCAAAAAATTAGCATATTTCATCCCACCAATGAAAGACAAGTGTTTTTAATACAAAAAACGCCAACCTTCAAATAATCATGTTCAGTTATGCACTCAATACTTGGTCGGGAATCCTTTTGCATGAATGACTGCTTCAATGCGGCGTGGCATGGAGGCAATCAGCCTGTGGCACTGCTGAGGTGTCATGGAGGCCCAGGATGCTTCGATAGCGGCCTTAAGCTCATCCAGAGTGTTGGGTCTTGCGTCTCTCAACTTTCTCTTCACAATATCCCACAGGTTCTCTATGGGGTTCAGGTCAGGAGAGTTGGCAGGCCAATTGAGCACAGTAATACCATGGTCAGTAAACCATTTACCAGTGGTTTTGGCACTGTGAGCAGGTGCCAGGTCATGCTGAAAAATGAAATCTTCATCTCCATAAAGCTTTTCAGCAGATGGAAGCATGAAGTGCTCCAAAATCTCCTGATAGCTAGCTGCATTGAACCTGCCCTTGATAAAACACAGTGGACCAACACCAGCAGCTGACATGGCACCCCAGACCATCACTGACTGTGGGTGCTTCACACTGGACTTCTGGCATTTTGGCATTTCCTTCTCCCCAGTCTTCCTCCAGACTCTGGCACCTTGATTTCCGAATGACATGCAAAATTTGCTTTCATCCAAAAAAAGTACTTTGGACCACTGAGCAACAGTCCAGTGCTGCTTCTCTGTAGCCCAGGTCAGGCGCTTCTGCCGCTGTTTCTGGTTCAAAAGTGGCTTGACCTGGGGAATGCGGCACCTGTAGCCCATTTCCTGCACACGCTTGTGCACGGTGGCTCTGGATGTTTCTACTCCAGACTCAGTCCACTGCTTCCGCAGGTCCCCCAAGGTCTGGAATTGGCCCTTCTCCACAATCCTCCTCAGGGTCTGGTCACCTCTTCTCGTTGTGCAGCGTTTTCTGCCACACTTTTCCTTTCCCACAGACTTCCCACTGAGATGCCTTGATACAACACTCTGGGAACAGCCTATTCGTTCAGCAATTTCTTTTTGTGTCTTACCCTCTTGCTTGAGGGTGTCAATGATGGCCTTCTGGACAGCATTCAGGTCGGCAGTCTTACCCATGATTGCGATTTTGAGTAATGAACAAGGCTGGGAGTTTTTAAAAGCCTCAGAAATCTTTTGCAGGTGTTTAGAGAAAAACACATTAAGCATCTGTTTAAAACCTTTTTCTTCCATCTTCGAAATATCTCCAAACTGCGCCCATCTCTCACATTTGCTGATGCAGAGAAACTCGTCCATGCTTTTGTCTCCTCCAGGCTCGACTACTGCAACTCCCTGTTTACTGGAATACCCGGCAAAAACCTTCAGAAGCTTCAATATATTCAAAACAGTGCAGCCAGGATTTTATTGAGAGCTCGTAAATTTGAACATATTACACCCATTCTCCATAACCTCCATTGGCTTCCTGTCACTTACAGAATTCAGTACAAAATTGCTCTCATCACCCATCAGTGTTTATACGGAAATTCACCAGATTATCTGAAGGACCTTCTTGCTCCATATTCATCCACCCGATCCCTACGATCACAGAACAGTAATCTCCTCCACCTTCCACGAACTAAATTAAGAACAATGGGAGACCGGGCATTCTGTGTGGCTGCCCCCCACCTCTGGAACTCCCTCCCTGAATATCTGAGAGCTCCACAATCATTGACTGACTTTAAAAAAGGCTTAAAGATTTTTCTTTTTAAGCAAGCCTATTCTGCCTCCACATGATTGTATCATTGATTTTAGTTGATTGTATCATTGATTTTAGTTGATTTTATCATTGATTTTAGTTGATTTTATCACAGATTTTAGTTGATTTTATCGCTGATTTTAGTTGATTTTATCAATTTTAGTTGCACTCTGCAGCACTTTGAGATTTTTGTTAATGAAAAGTGCGTTACAAATTAAATTCATTATTATTATTATTATTAGAGTTACGTCGTTGATTCAGATGGTTAGGTTAATAGCTTGTTTAGAGAACCTTTTCATGATATGCTAGTTTTTTGGGACAGGCATTTTGGGTTTTCATAAGCTGTATGCCATAATCATCAGTATTAAAACAATTAGAGACCTGAAATATTTCAGTTGGTGTGCAATGAATCTGAAATATATGAAAGTTTCATTTTTATCATTACATTATGGAAAATAATGACCTTTATCACAATATGCTATTTTTTTTAGAAGGACCTGTACAACTAAAAGCTAAATGTAGCAATGTAGCTAAAAGCATCAAAATGCTAGGTAAAAACTAAAAGTAGAAAAAAGTCTAGATAAAGGTAGCGAAGTAGCTAAAAGCTAAATGTACCAAAAAGCTAGGGAAAAACAAAGTAGCATAACAAGACAAAAATTGAGCAGGTATGCTGAAAAGGATTTCAAAGAAACCATGTTTTTGGAAAAAACCTCACTGCCTTTCTATGTGAAAAATATTTGCAAATAAAGTGAAATATTTTAAATAGTTTACAAATTACAAAAACCAAAAGTCATACAAGGTATCTCCTGAATGAGCTGAACATTTAAATATATAAATGGCTAAAACTGAAAAGTATGCAGAAGTAGCTGGATTGCACAAATAGAAAAGGACAATAATACATACAGTGGTCACAACAACAGCAGAACCTGTGAAGTTCTTACCATTCTTGGGGACAGAACTCCCTCTGCTGGCTTGGGTCTTCTCCAGGTCCAACAGTGTAGATTCATATGAGCGCCTAAGAGCAGAAATATCCTCCTGCAGCTTTGCCTTGGACTCCTGCTCTGCGTTGTACTCAGCCTGCAGCTTTGCCAGTCTCTCTTCATACTCCTGTAGAGAGAACAGACTATAAATTACCAGGTTCCTACATAATGCCCACATATATAAGAAGTGGTAATGCAAATGAAGTGTGAACATCCTGAGTTTGCCTCTTTAATCTTTTCTTGCTTTGTTTCAGTGGTGCTGGAATTTGGTACTGAAGGAACAGCTGAGGCCTGACCAGTCAGCAGAGCTGCAGTTCAAAAAGAAAAAAGAAAAGCACGCAGCAAAAGCAAGTTAAATTTCTTAAAGTATCTGCATTTAAATTTTTTAGTCCATTTTCAATAAATAAAACTAAAATCATGTTAGAGAATTCATCATTTACATGAAAGGCCAGAGGTGTCCAGCTGCCCAGAGACGAGGGCCCGCAACTTCTTGATCTCTTCCTGATACTCTCGAAGTAAAGCGTCTTTGGGGTCCTCGTTGATTTGAGGCCTGTTCCGAATACTCTTGGCCCGGTTTGCGTAACGCAACGTGCTGAGACTTTCCTCATAGTTATTATCTGCAGGTGAGAGGCAGGCAATCATCAAGGTGCGGGTGTTTCCTCCCAGGGAGTCCTGCAGCAGCCTGGTCAGTTTAGAGTCTCTGTATGGAATGTAATTGGAGCGACCGTCAACCAGGGCAGAGATGACATTTCCCAGAGCTGAGAGGGAGAGATTGATCTTAGTGGCCTCACAGAGTCTCTCCCCAGTGGCACCGGTTTTAGACTGGCGCTCACTTCCTGCAAGGTCCACGAGATTTAGTTTTCCTGCTCGCAGATGGGCTTGGCCAGCTGGATCTAAGAGTTTGGGTCAACAAAAGGAAATAAAGAGAAGAGACAACATTCAAGCTCATTCTGAAATACTACTTTGACTTCTCTTGCAACAGATTTAAAAATACTTTTTGCAAAGTCATGAAGACTAGTCAGAAATAAAGTCTGCACTAATGAACAAAATCTGCACAATATTTTCTCGTGTCAAAGGAGAATGTCATTTAATTAAACATTTGTAAACAAAATTTGTTATTTGTTATTGACAGTTTTACTTTTTGTGTTTAGCAGCAGATTCACACTCACAGTTTATTAACGGCTTCTCCAAGACTTTTAGATTCCCAAATTGGAGCGGTGGTCAAGACCAGTTTTTATCACCTCAGACAGCTAGCTAAGGTAAACTCCATTCTCACAAAACAGCAGCTGGAAACAATAATCCATGCCTTCGTCACCTCTTGGCTGGATTACTGCAACGCTCTTTACCTTGGAGTCAGCCAGTCCTCCCTCAGACGCCTCCAGTTGGTCCGGAACGCTGCTGCTCGGCTTCTAACTGGAGTTCAAAAGAGGGAGCACATCACCCCCACTCTGGCTTCACTCCACTGGCTGCCTGTTCATTTTAGAGTTCATTTTAAGGTTCTTTTATTTGTTTTTAAAAGTTTAAATGGTCTTGCTCCATCCTACCTCTCTGAGCTGCTTCACCCATACTCTCCTGCTCGGTGCCTCAGATCAGCTGATCAGCTGCTCCTGGAGGTGCCGAGGTCTAAACGGAGGCTCAGAGGGGACAAAGCTTTTTCTGTTGTTGCTCCAAGACTGTGGAACGATCTCCCTCTTCCCATCAGACAAGCCCCTTCATGTCCAGTTTTAAATCTCTTTTAAAAGCACATTTTTACTCCCTGGCTTTTAGCACACACTGAATTTTGCTCTGCACTGTTTTTATTTTTTTATTGATCTTAATGTTTTAACAACTGTTTTATGTGTTTAAATGTTCTTGATTTTATATGTACAGCACTTTTTGGCAGCTGTGGTTGTTTTAAAGGGCTTTATAAATAAAGTATTATTATCATTATTATTATTTTCCTTCTCCGATTCCTCAATGTTTGTTTCCCTTGTCAGACCATGACCAGGTCATTCCCATGACTAAAGCTTCCATGTGGTTTTGGATGGAGTCAACAGGGTGCTTTGTTTATGTTGAGTGCATTTCAAAATTGTCTATCAATATATCACTGAGGTCACTAAAGTAAACCGTTTCAAACTCCCCCATTTGATATTGTTCAGGAAAACCCTTTTCCATGTTAAATTTCCTACTTTGCAACAACATTTGGGAGATCTTAGATGTGTTTTGGGTTTTCTCGCTTGGTTACTTCTGAACTAACTTTTGCACCAAATTTTTATTCTTACTGGGATAAATCCACAAAAAAGTAATAGTAACAAGTCCAAAATGTTCTATCAGGTCATCTGGATGGTTTCTGTTTTTGTTAAGAGATTTTTCATCCTTCATCCAAAGGATTTCATCAATCTGAGAAGCCACAAATCAAACTGAGTCCCACAAGCAGCACACTCCCATAGTGGACCAGTTTGCTGTGATAAGAAGGTTTCTGGGGGCCGCCCTCTCCCCCGTCGACTCATCCCAGGCAGCTAACTTCCTTACTTGATTGAGAAAGTCCTTTGGATGAAGGATGAAATGTCTCTCAACAAAAAAAGAAACCGTCCAGATGACCTGACTGAACATTGTTGGTTCTATTTCGTATAGGCTTCGCCCTTTAAGGCCCTCGCTAGTGGGTTTTATCCCGTCATGCAAAGCATCGCACTGAAAAATTTAGTCCACGCCCACCTGTTGTGTGGGCCCCACCCGGTCCGTATAAATTACGTTAAGAGTGAGTAATCGGCTCCCATTTTTCTTCAGCAAGCAATTAGCACTGACCTTCAAACAACGAGATGTTTAGCACCAACACCATTCGCCTGTGTCCGTCCTGCAAGACCAGCTACTTGCTGAGCTTGGACTGGCACGACACCTGCAAAGGATGCCTGGGTCCCCGCCACGCCGCCATTGCCTCCTCCTGCCACCTTTTTGACCTCCTCCCCCCGGAGGAGAGGAAGAGGCAAGCAGCCTTGTTTAAGGCTAACGTCAAAGAATCCCTCTCCATGGCGGGGGACTGTTCACTGGACGACGCCATCGACATTTTTGACGCCTGCTCTCGGAGCGAATCGGATGGTTCCTCCGGGACAGGCGGCGTCAGCAGCAGCCCCACTGCTCATTCCCTCCCTGAGAGCGTAGTGTCGGAACGAGGGGGGCCGAGCAGATGGCGGAAGCTTTCGGAGCGAAGTTGTCCAGGTTGGACTAGCGTCCTGTTCCTCCAGGGAAGCATGACCAGACGGTGACGTCGCTCTCCAATCGAGCTCACCAGTGTGCGTTCCAGGCGGCCGCAGCAAACAATAACATGGTGCTGTTGGCGTACAGCGTTTCAAAGAGTCTGGAGGACACAGACCTGCCTGAGGAGATGAAGAGCTCCCTCTGCAAGGCATCTGACATCATCCTCAACCTATGCGCCTGATCTGCTGTCTGCCTGTCTCGCATCGCAACCTGGATGACGATGATCCAGAGGTCCACCTGGCTCTGTCACTCCCCCTCCCTGCCAGAGAAACTGCAGAAGGACCTGATGGAAGGCCCCATTACGACGGACGCGCTGTTCGGGACCAATTTCAAAGCCATGCGGGAAAAGTCGAAAAAGTCGGAGAAGGTGTCAGAGACTGTGCACCATCTGATCAAGCCGCATGCCTCATCCCGGCCCGCTGGAAGGATCGTCGTGGCCAAAGGCAGCAACAGAGACGTTCCACAGCTGCAGCAGCGTCCTCCCACTCCGCCACCAGCCCCTCCCATCAGAGAACAGCCCTTCTCATCCCGGCAACTAGTGGTGCAGCGTTTCCCCAGAGACCGACAACAGGCGTCACCCTGGGACAACAAACCGCAGGGCTCACGAGGGAGAAGATTCAAGAAATTACTCCTTGCAGGGGATGTGTGTGTGCAAAATGCTGCCTCCTCTCACCACAGCGGTGTCAAACGTGTGCTCCCGCGGCGCTGGCAGTTTTCACCCAAACGGTGCCACGTTGATGAGGGTGCGCACACCTCTCCTCAGCGCACGCCGGTTCACATCAGCGTGAATGCAAGCCTGCAGCCTGAGCGTGGCACAGTCACAGCCCGTGGCTCAGACGTGGCAGAAATTTGGCAAAGTGGCTGTGGACCTGTTTGCTAAGAGCCCTTTCAAGAAAGCCTCCCCTTGGGTCACGCGGAGCACACCTCCATGACACATGACAGCGGTGGAGGCTGTAACCTGGCTGACGTCCGGAAGAAACATGACACATCACAAAAATGTGTGCCCACTCCCCGAGCATTTTGCGGAGTGGGAGCGGAAGTGCTCTCTAGATAGATAGATGTGCCGTCTTATCAGCAGGGGTTACACGCTACAGTTCACAGCTCAACCCCCCCCCCCCCCCATTTGGAAGAATTTTATAGACAGTTCTGTCATCCCCAGACCAGATCTCGTCCCTCCACGTAGAAGTTCAGGAACTTCTGGTAAAAGATGTAATTTCCAGGGTTCCCGACGGAGAGGAAAACACAGGGTTTTACTCACATTACTTCCTGGTCCCAAAACGGACCGGAAGGATGAGACCCATCTTGGATTTGTCGATTTTCAACAAGGCGATAATGGAGAGACCGTTTCACATGTTGACAACCAGACAGCTGTTAGACAACATTCAGCGAAGCGATTGGTTTATCTCCATCGTTCTGAAAGACCCCTTTCACATCCCGATCATCTCAAAGCACAAAAAGTTCCTGCGCTTCTCCTTTCAAGGGATTCAGTATCAGTACAACAGGCTGCCGTTCTGTTATTCCCTCACGCCTCGTACGTTCTCAAAGTGTGTGTGGAGATGGCTCTGCAACCATTACACAGAGCAGGGATGAGAATTTTGTTTTACCTGGACGCTGCTGACCCGTTCCAGACAGGAGGCAGCAGCGCAGACCCAGGTGCTGACGTCACACCTGTTAAATCTGGGCTTCGCCATAAATTGGGAAAAAAGCTCGATTCTCCTGGCCCAGACGATCGTTTATCTGGGAGTGGAGCTAAACTCTATCACCATGAGGGCTTGTTTATCACAGATGAGAATCGAAACTCTAGAGTGGTAACAGCCATTTCCGTCATGAAGCTATTAGGAATGATGTTGTCAGCTCACACGATGGTTCCGCTGGGCTTACTCCACATGCGATGCCTTCAGAGATGGTTCGCTCGTCTGCATGTGGATCCAGTGAGGCAGAAGAGACGGATGATTGCTGTGCCCCCCTCCGTGAGAACAGACCTCCGACACTGGGGAAACCCCCTTGTTTTGTCTGAGGGAGTCCCTGTCAGCAGATCTACGTCACACGTCTCAGTGTTCACAGATGCATCCCTGTCATCTTGGGGAGGAACATGCCTATCCCGAGCTGTAGGGGCACTGTGGCCACCTCACACAACAGCTCATATAAATGTTCTAGAATGTCGCACAGTTTTGAATGTGATTCAACACTTTGTCTCTGTGCTGCGGAATCAACATGTTCTGATTCACACAGACAACAAGGTTACTGCAGCATACATAAACCGGCAGGGGGGTGTGCGCGGTGTGCGCTCAGCCCAAATTTTATACATTGCAAGACGGTTGCTGTGTTGGGCACACCAAAATCTGCTCTCCATCAGAGAAGTGTACATCCCCGGTGTTCTGAACAGAGGGGCGGATGTGATATCCAGGGGCAGTCCACATCATGGGGACTGGAGACTCCATCCCGACCTGATGGCTCAGACGTGGCAGAAATTTGGCAAAGTGGCTGTGGACCTGTTTGTAACACGAGAGAACGCTCAGTACCAACTATGGTGCTCACTGAGCCCACAGGACGAATTGCCGCTAGGGGTGGACGCGTTTGCTCACAGCCCATGGCCTAAAATGCTTCTTTACACGTTTCCCCCACTCCCTCTGATATTACGGTTTCTGAACCGAGTTCG